ATTGCTGCTTGAAGTCAGAATTGCTCATCTGTTGTGGCTCTGAACCTTGCCTTCTACACTCCTCCAGGAAGATCATCAACCAGCACACAAAAGAGCCAAAAGGGCCACGGAACCGCGGCAGGGGCCCTCCTCCTCAGAGCCAATCGTTGAGGCTGCGCAATTGCTGGCAGAGACAAGAAAACTATCTCCAGCCGGCGCAGACCACAGAAAAGCTCTTCCTGCAATTCGCGCCGGCAGAAATCGTCCCGACCTTGATGAAGAAGTCGCAGGACGAAGAAGGCTATGGAAGCCAGATCTACCACTCAGGCCTGATCACGGAGCAGGCGAGCTGAACCTGATTGACGACATGGTCGAACTGGCCTATAGAGGGGGGAGTCCATCCCACAATTCAGTCCCTGAAACCCGAGAACAAGGACGGCAGCAACTCACCCATGAGCCCGTGGTTGACCCACGGAAGGAGCGCATGGTGGGTTCACATCAACAAAGAGAACTCAACAGCAGCGCAGCTGATCAAAGTGCGCAACACAGTGAGATCAGCAGAATTCCATCACCATCTCCTAGAGTATGGGCAAGCTTTCTCTCTTTTTGCGCAGCTTTTCTATGAGGAGAGCTTATGGGTTAGCCTGAAGAATCTTGACACCTTCCGGCCTTTTCTTGCGGCGTGGGGAAACGCCCAGCAAGATGCAGGGGAGTTCTTGGGGTCCTTCTTGAGTTGGACACAACCTTTGTGCGCAAACCTGCACTGGAAGAGGCGGGTCCAGGTGGGCCAGGCTGTAAACACGGCTGATGAGGGGTCACGCCACACGCCTCCCACACAGTGTACGTGACAAATGAAGTCAAAAACTATCAACTTGCAGGAACTCATTGACAATAACCTTGGTACGAACACATCCTTCACGCACGATAACAAACTGATGAACATAAACACTGACAGATTCCTTGCTGACTCCTCAGGCCGGGTGCAAAAGCTGGAGTGGGAACTTGAAGAAGATGCGCTCTACACCTGTGCAATTCCCTGTGTTGTGGCAGGAGGCATTGCGCACCGAGGCACAGATGAGGCGGGTCACATCCAGGCCATAGGGAAAGCAGCTGGAGGTTGGTTCTTCTTCAATGACCAGCAGGAAGCAGAGTTCCATGAAGAACCCCCTCACTGGGCTGACTTCATCACCCCCAAATACTGGCAGCTGGGTCTTGATCACACTACTGCCCGTATTGCAATGCATGTGGAGGAAGAGGGGCGGGCTTGGGAAGGCTTTCGGCCTGAGGGGCTCCAGCGTCTCAAGGGACATTGTAGCCTCTGTGGCCGCTTGACCTTGGACTGCGAGGCCCTAACGGATCATGTTCTTGCAAGGCACCCAGAACTTACAGAATGTGTTCAGCAAGATCACCATCGACAGACAAACAATGATCTGTGCTCACTCCCATGCCCCAGCTGTGGCATTTTGCCAAAGCTGGGGCCGCGACTTCAACTGCACCATCTATGTCAAGCTGCATTGAACATCTCCCTCGGTGCAACCCTCATGACACAAGATCTTCGACCCCGCAGCTCACTGTTTGGCACCTTGGGGTCCTCCACCCAAGGGGCTTGCTGCATGGTGGGGCAACTTGGCTTGATAGCTCCAAAGACGGAGCAAAAAAAGCATAGCGCTGCTGCATTTGCTGGCGGCTGCTTCGGTGACTTCGTTGAGATGCTTGGCAACTCGGCTTGCTTAGTGGCTCCAGCTGCAAGATCATCTACGACATCTGCTGCCGCGGGAAGCTGGCGGTTGCCTGGGCTGTTCTGTTGCTGAGCCTTGGATAACAATAGCTGTCTGAGCATGGCCTGCGCCTTTGCAAGTGCTGCCGCTTGGCTGGCAGCTGTGAGAGGTGCGCCGGGCTCTGCAGTGCAGCTGAGTGAGAGAGGCCTACCTTTGATGACTGCTTCTACTTGGTAAATGTCCCACCTTATATTTTCGTGGTGAGCCGGGTCTTTCTTAGTACAGCCGGACTTGTTGTTTTTTCGTCATGTCTTGCAGTGATTCCCGACCCCTGGTCTTGAGCTCCTGCAACACTTGTTCTAGATTCGCTGAGAGGTGCAGGTGCTACAGTAGCTTTTGCCCGCCCTCTTTCTTTTTGAATCCGTGTGCAGCTTTACAGGCATGCAGGTGCATCAGCTTCTGTTAGAGAGGAGCTAACAGTCAAGACATTGTTGCCATGCCCCGCATTCGACGGACCTCCGCCAAGCGTCTCAAACTCAAAAACCTATCTATCTATCTATCTATCTATCTATCTATCTATCTATATCTATCTATATCTATCTATACCTATCTATATCTATCTCTATCTGTCTCTATCTATCTCTATCTATCTATATATATATATATCTATCCACATCTATCTATATCTACCTCTATCTCTATCTCTATCTGTATCTCTATCTGTATCTGTATCTCTATCTCTATCTGTATCTGTATCTGTATCTGTCTCTATCTATCCATCCATCCATCCATCCATCCATCCATCCATCCATACATACATACATATTAGAAGTAGTTGAGGGAGTAGGCATGAGGGAGTAGGCTTAAGTAGTACTGGCTACTGGACGCATTAGTCTGGGCTCCTGTCCCTAGGAGCAAAGGACGCTACTAGTAGCAAAGGGCATCGCTACTAGTAACAAAGGGCATTAGTACTAGTAGCATTCTTGCTACTAGTAACAAGAAGCTACTAGGAGTAAAGGGCATTTCTACAAGGAGCAAGGACGCTACTAGGGGCTCCTGGCCTTACTACTAGGAGCATTCTTGCTACTAGTAAAGCGACAACCCACTACGGCGGGGTCGCGACGCAGAGGAGCTCAGGCTTCAAGGGCGGGGGGGGAGCTTCCTTGGCAGAACCCCTCACATGATTCATTTGGAGAAACGCGCCATGTGTCTTGTTACTAGTAGTAAGGCCAGGAGCTCCCCTAGTAACGTCCTTGCTCGTAGTAGCGATGCCCTTTGTTACTAGTAGCTTCTTGCTACTAGTAATTTCACTTTTCTCTTCTACTGTTTTTTTTCCTTCTTGCATCTTTCCGTCATTATCCTTTCTTTCTTTGACCCTTTGGACCTCTTGTTCCTTCCTTTCTTTGTTTCTCTTGTTAAAGACCACAAACAAGTAAACATGAAGGCACACAATGCCACGCATGTAGACCCACCAAGGTGTTGGCATTTTGTCTTTGCGCGCCGAAAAGTTCTTCACTTCCAAGGTTCGTCTTGCAAGGTTGCATCCGCATGGAGGAGCACCTGCATAGCTCGATTCATGAAAATTGTTCCTAGTAGCGTGGATTGCTACTAGTAGCTTCTTAGTTTCTAGTAGTAGGGCCAGGAGCCCCAAGTAGCGTCCTTGCTCATAGTAGCGATGCCCTTTGCTCCTAGTAGCGTCCTTGTTCATTTCAGACTATAGTTGGTTCCTGCTGGTTTGAGTTTAGGATCTGCAACGGCTAGAGCTGGGACATGTCACATCCTAGCCATCGTAGCTAAACGTCGTTTACGTTTTTGGCAGAAGTGTGGTGGTACCCTGGATGTTGTGCCCCATGCACGCTGCTGGGCCAATGCTGTGGTCAAGGATTTGCTGTGGTTTCATTTGAGTTCTGGCAAGACTTCCAGCTTACCTTCTCCTGACGTTGAATGGGAGGAGTGGGGCCGGTTTGTTGCGAGATGGCCCCTGTGGTTTCAGGAGGTCTTGAATGTGTGGTCCCCTAATTGCTGTCCTTTTGTTTGTTTGGATCGGTTGGTTAAACGACCACAGTTTGGCATTGCATGCGCCGAGTGCAATTTTGTGTGCGCTAGCCCGGCCGGCCTGGCTGCGCACATGCGGAAGAAGCATTGTAAGCGGAGCCCCATCTGGTTTTATGTTCATGGGTCGTTGTGTCCTGTTTGCGGGTGTGATTTTCATTTTCGTGGCCGCGTTGTTCAGCACTTGCGGCATGGCTCCCGGCAATGTAGGGATGCGTATTTATCTGGATCCCTTTCTCCGCACGACGAAACTGAAGAGTGTCGTCTTCAGATTTTAGATAAACGATGGTGCCAGCTGGCACTCAAGCATGGGAGACATCCCTATGCTTTTGGCGGGCCGGTTCGGCCCTCAGTTCCGGCAGCTTGAGCTGCTCTTATGGCACTGGATGGTCTTTTAGGCCAGGATTTGGGAAAAAAAAAGATCTGCAACGGCAATCCAAGACAACCTCCAGCTGTGAATTTGACATGTTTGCTCAAGGCACAGACAGGCTGTTGCTACTGTTGATGACCCGCACGGCATAATTCATTCCCTGTCCGGTATGACACGTATGAAAGTCAAGCTTCTGTGCAGCACACCTTCTGCAACACCGCTCTTGGGATTAGATCACCCACACGTCTTCCCAAATGTCCCACGAAAAGCAAGCCTATCTCCATCTCTATATGCTTTATAGAGTATCTATAAAAGCTACTAGTAACAACGGGCATCGCTACTAGGAGCAAGGACGCTACTAGTAGCTCCTGGCCTTACTACTAGTAACGCCGAAAAGCTCAGGAATCCCTGGCAGCAAATGCAGAAAAGCATGTTCAACAATGTAACACGTGTTCAGCAGCGTGTTCAGCAGCGTCTGTGTTACTAGTAGCAAGAATGCTACTAGTACTAATGCCCTTTGTTACTAGTAGCGATGCCCTTGCTCCTAGTAGCTTCTTGTCACTAGTAGCCCCTAGCCGCTTTGTCCGTGTTTTGGACATGGTGATCCGGGAAGCTCTTGATCTTCCCTAGAGGAGAATCAAACAGGTGCAAAACATACGAAACCAACAAGCAAACACCCAACAAAAGATAGAACCGTTTTTTTAAGCCGGAGTTCGACACGAACTGCTAGCGAGGTGGCCTGCCACGAACCGCACCGTAAAGCTTCCTCCACCAAATCCCGCTGCTTCCGGACGGCAGCCGAGGCTTGGGCCATCGCTAGCCAGTGTTGCCTCGGCACAAGTCCCGTTTTGTTCGATTCAAATCACGAAACCAAGTCAACATCATGTGCGCTTTCTTCGTTTAACGATGAGCCTCAGTGCTCTTTCGCTCTTCAGGTGCCTCAGTGCTATTCGCACCACCTCCTTGTCGTTGCAAAGATCTGGATGCGCAAATGACAAGCAGCGCCAGCTGGAGCCAATGGCCTGTCACATTTTTGCCAACTTGCAAGTTGCATGAGTGTGAAAAAGTATGTCTTGCCGTTTATTTCACTGATTTTTCAGCCCGTGGCTCTGCCTCCTTGCTTAATTACGTAGGCGCCTACTCAATAAAGTAAGGGAGACGCTCGCTCCCAGCTAGGGCGCAAGATAGCTCACGCTTCTAATAATTTGGTTCCTAGGCTTTTAGGGATACTTAACTAGTAACAAGAAGCTACTAGGGGCTCCTGGCCTTACTACTAGGAGCAAGGACGCTACTAGGGGCTCCTGGCCATACTACTAGTAACACGGTATATACACGGTGTATACATAAAATGGCATCCGCCCGCGACCACACCATTGGCACATTGCTGTTCACCAGAGCGCCACCTGCTTCATGAAGTCCCAGTCCGAGTACAGCGTAGGGTGGCAATACCTGTTAAGGAAATATCGCTTCACCATTTGGCATCGAAGCATATCGAAGCTTAACTGGCAAGAAAGACCATGAACAAGTATTGTTGGCGATGTTACTTTTGTTCTTACAGCTCCTAGAGCTTCTCACTCAGATCAGACAACCTCTACTCATTTCCTTACTCACTCACACAGGAAAACACATCACATTACTCTTTGGAAAAGGCACTCAATTGCTTCCCAATTCTGTCGCACTGCCTGAGGCAAGCTCGACGAGCTCAACACGCGCGTTCTCAGCATGTGGCATATCACATGATGTCATCATTTTTCCTCCAGAGAAGGAGGTCATTGCTAGTAGGTTTTGGAGACCATCACTTTTAGGTTGGAGGCCATCTCTCTTGCAGCTTTGAGAAGACGACAAGACAAGATTTGATTGAACGCCTGAAGTCCCCGTTGTGTCCTTTTGGCCCAACTTTTGGCTGCAACAAGGCTCTCGACTGCCCTTCTCTAACTTTGACAGCTCTCATTGAAACTGCTCAAACTCAAAAATGCACCAGGGTCCACCTATGACAGGGTCTGGCTCTGACTCTGACAGCACCTAAGTCTCGATCCTCACAAGTCTTAAAAGGCTCTTTTCATTTGCCCAAACGGTTAAGCCAGGAGATACTAGCTTCTTGCTACTACTAGTAGCTTCTTGCTACTAAGCAAAGAGTAAAACAAACAACATGTCCGCAAACGGAAATGAGCCGAACCCGGGCCTCGAGGCAAAGATCGGGATCCCTCCGCAGCTCTTCTGCTGCGAAGCGCAAGCAGGTTCCGGAGGTTTGCACTGCCCACAAAACGATCTCCTCGAAAAGAAAGCATTACAAAATCTAGCGTCCTTGCTCCTGGTAGTAAGGCCAGGAGCCCCTGGTAGCTTCTTGTTCCTACAAAATCTAATTAGTCTAAGCTCGGATTTAACAAAATCTAGTCTAAGCCGTGCCTTTTTGAAGACTTCGTCAACACCATTCTGAAAAGATGTACAATCATGTATAGAGTCAGTTTTTTGATGTATTTTGTGTCTACTTCCTTGTTGAATGCTTTCATAAATGCGTTGTCAAAGATTTTCTGCCTGTTGGAGATTCTACCTCGCTATGGCCTCCCTTGCTTTCAGCTTTCTCTGTTCCCAAGAAGACGCACTTCAACAGGGCAAGAACATCTCTCGTTCAAACACCTTGGGATTTCTTGCTTCAAAAGAAATAGGAGTACTTTGTCAGGGCTTGGAACTTAGGTATTTCAAAAACAAAGAAACAAAGGCTTCGAACAAAAGCGCTGCCCATATTGCCCCAAAGACTTAAAGACCTTCAGAAGGATCTCGCCTGGTCTGATGTCTTGGTTTCGTCTGACAAGAAGGGCATGTGTCCACTTTCTGCATACGTGCCATCCTTTTTGTGTGATTGTTTTTTGTTTGATTATTTTTTCTATTTCGTTTTTTAGAACTTGAGACAGTTCTTTCTGTGCTTACTCCTCTTTTCCGTTATCTATATTTCTTTTTCATTCATCCCTGCAAGCGAAAACCGAACGTGTAAACACACACACATACATGTTTTTGAGCAACATGATCAGCATATCTTATAGTGGCGTCTTGGAATTCGTGGAAAAGGAGACAACACTGTAAATAGCCACACGTTCTTACTTTGTTCAACTTCAGGATCTTAGTGCCTCCGCGCGCACCATCTTGCATTGGTATATATAGACATTGTAGGGGTATGCAGCATGCAGGTATTGATATTCTTGGGGGCGTTGGCATTCGTCGGCATTGCTGCAATTGTGACAATGATGATAGACAACTAGTAGCGTCCTTGCTCCTAGTAGCGATGCCAGGAGCCCCTAGTAGCGTCCGATCGCTCCTAGTAGTGTCTTGGGGACGCTTTTCACAAAGGTTCACAATTGTTGGATGTCTGCAGTTTCGTTGCTTCTCTCGTAGTATTGTACACGTGTGATCCGCATGCGCAAGAAAACTGCGCGTCAGAAGAGAAGAGAAAAGACAGGGTGAAACCGCCAAAGAGGCGGCAAACACTTCAAGAACTTCTGCAAGACATGTCACTTCTAAAAAACAGCATCGTGACGAAACCGTGAAACAGAAGTGCACCTGACATTCTGTTGCAGGTGTTCAAGACATTTGCTTCTAGAAAACGACGATTCTTCTGAAACACCGTAATGACGACGTTCGCAGAATCTTTGTCCTAAAAAAAACTAAAGCACAGGGTTTTTGCCTCCGCTGATAGGATGTCTGCAAAAATCAAGACGACTACAGGTTCACTTCCTGCCCCGGCGGGATATTCATGCTATGCATTGTTTTCTTCCCGTTCCTCTTTATTTGACTTTCTGTCTGTGGGACCATCTCCTCTGTTTGTGGGAAAAATGCTCCTCTCCTTACCTTCTGAATTCCAAGTGCCTCGTGAAAGTTGGCTACTCTTCCGGTCCAACCCTCACATTCGACCTGCTCCAAGGTTGAGTGGGCCTGTGGGGTGGGGAGGAGAGTTCTGTGAAGATTCTGAAATTCGAACGGCACTCAACTCAAGTGACTACTAGGGGCTCCTGGCCATACTACTAGGAGCAAGGATGCTACTAGGGGCTCCTGGCATCGCTATTACTAGGGAGAATGTTTCAGCAAACCGCCTCTAACAACCGTTCAACTCTAACAAACATCACTACTCCCCCACCAATAGAAACAAGAATGCGTTCCAAAAGAAAAACCAAACAAAAAGAACATTCCTAACACACAGAACAAATATATAAACGAAAAAACAACAAAGAAGGAACAAAACCCATGATGCTGTTTGCTTTTTCCTCCCGCTGAGCATGGTCCTCATCTGCCTGGAAGGCCTCCAGCAGCTCCAGTGCTTCCCCCGTTCTGCGCAAGGCCGTCTCCATGAGTTCACGATCCGCCTCACAGTGTTTTTCGCCCAGACAGAAGAGAAAAAACAAGCAAGGCTCTTTACAAGCATGCCTGTAGGAAGAAGAAGTGTTCTAAAGCCAACAAAACAAACGCGTGTTGTGCCAGGACAGCATCAACCAGTGATAACAACGTTCTAGCAATTGCACACATGTAATGTCTTTTTGCATGTCTCTCAGCCGTTTTATGAAGCCGTGCTGGTTGGCAATGTTTCGCAACTAGTTTGAAGGCGTTGACAAAGGAGAATAAAAACAAGGGATGATATGTGTCCTTTTTCATTCTACGTGAGAGAAGCAAAGAAGAACAGTTTGTTCAGCACCCCCCCTCCTGCAAGTCTTCACTGGCAAATGCAATGGCCAGGCCATTCTCCTCCAAGGCCACCTGGAACAAAATCGGAGGGCAAACATTTACCCTTTCGCAGCTCACACCTTCATAATTCAAAATCATGTGTATATATATATATATACACATTATATATGCTATTCTTCCGGAACCCACATTTCCCATGGTTGCCAAATAGCTCAAGCTAATTTGCAGGATAAATGAGGATTCGCACTTCTTTTTGACCTCCTCGTGCACGGATATAATGTAAAAATAAGTATATACCACTCTCAAAGCTGCCAAACAAAGATCCATCAAAAAATATGCAAAAATGTGGAAGAGTCTTTCGCAAAAGAATAGCAGTGCAGAAGAAACCATATACCAATAGGTTCGTCCCTTGTAGAACCACACAAGAACTCGTACTTATCAATAAAACAACTATTTTAATGGCAAACAACACATGTTAAGAAGAGGTTGGGTAATGAACAAATGTACTGCAGTTTTTCTACACCTGATGTCATTGCAGCGGCACAGGGCACCTGACAGAAAGTTATGGCAAACCCAAATTATAAAGTGAAGAAGAGAGTTCAACAAACAATAACTTCCAACCAATGCAACATTGATGAAGGAATATAATGACATAGGACAAGGGGACATCCAGCCTTTGCAAACATGTTTTCAGGAGAATTTGGTGCAAATGAAACAGAAAAGGGAACTCACATCTTGTGTGGATAGATTGCGATGTTGACATAGTCACTGAAAATAACAAAGCAAGGGGAATGACACCCGATGATGCCAGGCAAAGGGAACATGAACACAAAGAAAGGTCAGGAAGTGCATCAGCGGAGCAAGGAAACGGCGATTGTCTCCTGAAAATGGGGGATAGGATAGAACTTCATATTTTTTGAAGATTGACCTTGGAGGCAGAGCAAGCCGAATACATGGAAGGTCTAGTGCTAGAGGAAAAGGGTGTATACGCGCTTTGTCTTAAATACTATTAAGTGAGACGGAACATAGGCTGAACATAAGGAACAGTGTTTGACTTGCAGATCTTTTTCTTCTCGTGGCCCACGGCGATTCGCGCTCGGCGAGCGACTTGCGACTTCCCTGGAGAACCGCTTCAAGCAATTTCCTAGGACAGCCAAGGAAAACCCAAGAGCGAAGCTATCTGTTCTGAGCACAGGACCGTAGCCATTTCTTGCGCGCTTGCCACATTTGCAGCACGGTTCGGTGCACCCGCAGTCTTTGGGATGACTCCACCGCCGCCAGATCCCATGGCCGATCCAGCATCCACTTGAAGGCTCCATCATTAGCAGAAATTGCGCTCTGCGTGAGAGGGCACTCATGCAAAAAGTGTTTCAAATCATCCGGACTGACGTGCCCAAGCTGACCACAACATTGGCACAGATGTTTTGGCAAAGTAGGTAGGTCCCCCTCTTTGAGCCCCTGTCCACCTGACCACAATCGAATCAGCAGCGCGGAGACTTGAACTGAGACTTTTGCGTGCTCAAAAATCACTGCCGGGCACTGACCTTTCTGTATGGCCAGAGCCACTGCCTCAACTGGACAATGATACACGCAAGGGTGATTTCTCGCCGCTGACGCTTGTCCTGCGGCGGCAACTCAGCCCGTCCAGTGATGGACAGAAGGTCCAAATGAGCCTGGTTCGACCAAGTGCCAGGAACACATCCCGCATGCTCATACAAGAAAGTAAGAAGACATGGGCTGCCAGACATGATTCGAAACAGTAAGCTCAACCTCCACACCGGCAAAGTGGCTGACCAAGACACCCACCCTGTCAAGAGCACTGAGGGAATTGGAGATCTTTTCGCAAGTCCCAAAATCATCCGAGCCAGTTTGCGCTGTATAAGGTCCACCTTTTGTAGCTCACTCCTGCTCAATGCGATTGTTGGCAGTAGAAACTTTGCTATGGGTTCGACATATACGGCCCACAACTGACAGAGCAAGGAGATTGGCACCTGCTTGGCCCGAGCCCAGTGAAGGAACTGGCCAGTCTTGGAGCGGAGCCGGGACTGCAAATCACCGAGCAGAGGCCCATGAGAACCTGCCCAATGGAGAACGCCGCCCAAGTACCGATAGGAATCAACTTCAGGCAAGGGTTGACCATGAACTCTCAATGACACCATCGGCTCACGCAGTATGCTGTCAGCCCACGAGGACGCCGCATTCAGCGCTCTCTGTGCCTCCTCGCGCGAGGATGACAGTAATGCTACGTCGTCCACATATAGGCCTGAGCTGGGAAGATGCCTTCGCCAATGGAGACACCAGTTTCTAGATCAATGAGCTTGTTGTATAACGCCAAAGTGACTAAGCCAAACAGTCCGGTGGACAAAGCACCCCCTTGCGGAAGACCAGTGTGGTTGATCCACTTTCCATGCAGACAACCAAAGAACGCAGCCCTGGAGCGCAAACTTGATAGCAACATCGAAGTGAAAATATTATCACTCGCCCGGATGCCGGGCAACTGTCGCAGGCAAGAGACTATCGCTTGCATTGGTGGCCGGCAGAACGCCGACTGACCATCCATGAAAAGTGAACATCATGTCTCGGGGTAACACACCATTGGCGCGCAACTGTATCAACTCAGCCATACACGCAAAAGCTGTATCGGCTCCATTACACCCACCCAGCTGCCATGGCACTAAATGAGGGTGATACCGGTCGGTGTGATTCGATTGCGCATCTGTCTTTTCCAGGCTTCAACAAAGGGGCGCCAATCAAAGTAGCCCAGCAGGGCGGGATCCAGGACGCGACCATGCACAAGTTCATCAAGGCATGCAAACATGCGCCCAATGGCAAATTTGGCGCACTCAAAAGCTTGACAGGGATAAGCTCAGAAGGGGAGCGGCATTTGGATTGAGAGCGTGACAGGCGTCACAAAATTCACTCCGAGAAAACTGGTTTGACACACATGGCATGCAGGCGTTGTGAGCAGCGCAAAGCCACCTCTTGGCTTCGCCCCATTCCGAGTCAATGCCCTGGTCGGACACTGGCTCATGAAATTGTTCTCTTCCATCAAGCATTCTCAACCATTCCGACGGCTCAACCTGTCCGCTCCAAGAAGTCTGAGATTCAAGAAACGCAGTCCACACTAATGCCGCAGTCATTTGGTCCAAAACCTCGCCTTCCACACAAACAATCTGGGAAGTGCCAGACAGCGGGAAAATTTCCTTTTGCACTTGACGAAACATTCTGTTGCCAATTGTCGGTTTGCGATCCAGGTTCGCTCCCCACCTAGTCACACTACTCAGCACCTCTTTTCGGCATTGTTTTAACAATTGCTTATGGACCACACGCCGACACGCCCGGTACTCACAGGTACCCCGATTGTCTCTCATCCGGCGGACAGCTTCACGAATGTGGGCCGGAAAACGCGAGCGGCGACGCGAAGCTTGCAAGGAGCAAAAACGACCAAACGGTGAATTCACTTGAAACAATGTGCCAAGAACAATGATGCCAAAAGCGCATGAGGCTTGCAACAAAATATCACGAAGACACGAGACAGTGCAGTTGGAGCACGGAATACTCTGCTCAAGCCATGGGTGTAGCCGCAACATGCCCACTTCCAATTGGCACACTAAGGATTGCACATCAATGTCACGAAAATTGACCCAGCGCAAAGGACTGTCCTGACCCACCCAACCCAAATGCAAGATAATTGGAAAATGATCACTCCCAGCCAGGCGAAGGCGCTTGACTTCAAACGAGAGCACACTTGACACTTCCGAAATCAACGCCAAATCCAGAACGTTCCCTTTCACATGCGTCGGAGATGCTGGGCCAAACAAGCAATTCGCAACCACCAAATTGCTCATGACCTGGTTGCGAAAGAAATCATTCAAGGGCGCCCTGGCCCCAGCTTCAAAGCATGCTGAAGATCCAGCAGGAACCATGGAAGGAAGATTCATGTCCCCCATCAACAAACATAAGGCATTCGGAAATTTTCGACGGAGCCTCATCCGTTCAGATCCAATCTTCCTGAAGTACGACTCGCGAAAATCAGCTGCATACCCAACATGAGGGGAGTAGGCAGCCCCTAAAAGGAACAGTGAAGCATGCCAAGAAACAGCCCACGCACGAAAATTGTGGCAATCCACAAGCTCATCGGCCCGGAACCACTTGTTTGCAAGTTTACGACAGAAAATTGCACCCACTCCATATCCGGGGAGCGAATGTGGAGCACAAGCCAGATCAAAAGTGAGGCCTTGCAAGGCTGACACATGAGTGCTCGCACTCACCCCAGCTTCAGCAAGCAAAAGAATTTCAAGGCCATGCTCTTCAAAAAACGAAAGCACATCCAGCCACTTGCCACCATCCAACATGCCAGAACGACATGTCAGACACGCAGAATTGTGGAAGCCAATGTTCACTCCTTGGGCAGTGTGACTCACCTGAGAGAGTCACTCCCGCTTACGACGCTTTGGTGCTGGAACGGCAAAACATGCTTCAATGAGGGGCCACGCTTCATGTTTTTCAGTAAGCCCCGACTCTTTGGCATACTCGATGATAGCAGCTTTACCCACAGGTCCCAAACGCTTTGCAACTTCTTCGAACACAAGCTTCAAGTCAGGGCATGTGGTTGCCGGTGACAAGGGTGGCAACAACAAACGAAGAAACCATTGGATTGTGTCACTCCTCCTTCAAAAGGTTGCGATACATGTGCGGCACAAAGAACGGAATACAACCAACAAAAAAATAGTGATGCATGCTTCATGAGTGAAGGCCATTGCTATTGGGGTGGAGGCCATCGCTCTCAGGTTGGAGGCCATCGCTATTAGGGTGGAGCCATCGTTACTAGGGTGAAGGCCATCGCTACTAGGGTGGAGGCCATTGCTATCAGGGTAGAGGCCATCGCTAGTATTTGACTATTGTGGGACAACCATTACAACTTGCCAGTGCCAAGTGTGAGGGCGCACCAAAGGTGGCAAGAGGGGAAGGACAAGACTTGAACAAGGAATGCAACATAATTTTTGGGAAATCAAGAATACAGCTAGCTTTGGTATGAAAAGACTCTAACTCATAGAAGGTGAGGACCTCACAAAAGGAAGAACACATTCATGAAGGAGGACATGTTTGAAGAAAGAAACATGTCATTGCAAGGAAGATATCGTTGTAAGGACCATGACCAAGTCCACATAAAGAATGGGGCCCTTGTACCTGTGGTCCCTTGTTCTGTTAGGCCGCAAGGCGATGATTCGAAGCGTGCAGTGGGGGTAGGAGGGTAGGTCTTGGTAGGTCTTGGTAGGTCTTGGTAGGTCTTGGTATATAGGTCTTGGTAGGTCTTGGTAGGTCTTGGCAGGTGTGTAGGTAGGTAGGTAGGTAGGTAGGTAGGTAAGTAGGTAGGTAGGTAGGTAGGTAGGTAGGTAGGTAGGTCCAGTAGTAAGGCAAGTAATAGAGATTCTAGTATTATAAAGAGAAAAACGGTGAAAAAAAAGAAGGTAAGGTAAGGGCCCCTTTAACAAAGCCCCTACCTGCTTTTTCTAATCCATTGTCTCTTCGTAATAGCAGTGTCGTATCTACTAGCATCTAGACGCAGAAGGGCTTGAGTAGCCCGCTCTGCCCCCCCTCTACTTAATTAAGTAAACGCCTCCTTAATTAAGTAAGGGCGACTAGTTGGCTACTACTAGTAACTGGACTCAGGATAGCTCACGCTTCTTCAAGGAAGCTCCCCCAGCCGCCCTAGAGGCGGCGGGGGAGGAGCTTCCTTGAAGAAGCGCTCGCACTACTCATTTGGTTCCTAGACTTTAAGGAATACCAAAAACACTTAACTGACTAAGTGTGTAGATCGAAGTTCAGAATTTGTGGGGGGCATGGCATCCCAAAGTGTGGGAAGATTAAAAGCATTGCATCCTAATATATTAAAAAAAAGAAAAAAACAAATCAAACACCAAACATCCGACAGGATTTGCAAATGCCGAAAGAAAAAGCTCGATCATTGCCCACCTCTACAAAGGGTCGATGCTCTCTGACCACTTTCGGCATCTCCTGAGCGGCTTTGCACGCTTCATTTCCAAGCATTCGTCTTTACTAGCCCCTTTGCAGTTTTTCTCTGTCTGGATCTCACTCTGTCTAATACTGTGTGTTGCAACCAGGTGGATGTGAAAGGATGTGATTGGGAAGCGAAAGGTGCCCACATTTTCATCACGATCTTCGCATCGTCTCAGTTGGAACCTTGTGTGCCCAGCAGAATGGCAATGCCGTGGCAGTACGGCGCATCAGCAAACTTGGACATTTCCTGCTGCATCGACAAGAGTGATGGGGTAGTGTACACAGCACCGTCAGCAGCATCGGTGAAATACAATTGGCTACTTCCATCCCACGCTATGCTCATTGGATTCCAATCCTTAGCACATCAAGTGACTTGTGAAGAAATGAACACTCATAGCAATGGCCTCCACTCCACCCTCAGAGCGATGGCCTCCACCCTACTAGCGATGGCCTCCAACTGACTAATTAGTGAAAGCAACTTTTCTGGACGAATCGGGGCAAGTATATAGATAAAATTGCAAAAAGTCCTTTAAGTCGGACCCAGAGTCCAAAGAATGTGGAGGGGAGATCAAACCAACCTGTGGATCTGAGACTTTTGAAGACGTTGTCTTACTCTGTCCGTAGACTCCTTCGCGTGAAAGCCAAAACACTTCCGTGCCGGATGTTGTCAAACCACGGACCTCTTCTAGTGCATCGTCCAAGGTCGTCACAAACATATCCTGACTTTCGAGAAATGCGCAAAGAAGAGTTCACAGGCAGAAAAAGAGACCTTTAAAGACACACAGAGCATAAAGATTGCTGTCTGACAAGTGTCTTGAGATTGCAATCCAATGTTGGCACGAGTCCCCTTGCTGACGGAACCATGCTTTGTTCCACCTGCCTGGTTTCCCCAAAATATAAAGAAGGAGTCGACAGCAATTCCTGAAAGTTCCCACACTTTGGGATCTGGTTGTCCTGTATTGGCTCTGGTGTAGATCTCTGTTGGATTGAATGTATCTCCATTCACAATCTGCTCATTGTCAAGCCTCCAAATCGCATCGACTGTGCCGTTGCTTCCAGCCTTTGGTGCCGGATGACCACTGAAGTACAAATCGCCTGCACCATTCACTGCCAGCCAATGGGCGCTAAAGCCTTCAACTGCAGCACGTTGTCGCCCCACCGTCTGTAGCAAACCTTTGTTTGTTGCCCCGAGTTGATACCACCAAATGATATTCTTGGGCGGATCTGCTACAAAGAGTCTAGACGACAAAGGATCAACTGCGATTGCAGTTGGGCTTGCAACGTCTCCTAATACTAGTGGGCGCCAAACATTGTCTGGAAGCACTGTGTAGGCTACTTGCTTTAGCTGTGGGAAGGAAGTGAGCATATATTTTCTGCCTGCTTTCATGGCATCAACTGAGACAGTTTGACTTCTCGAACTGCCATCCTTCACCTTCGGTGCCAAAGCTGCAGCTGGTGCCAACGCAGCGAAAATCAGGACAAGTTGGACAAGAAGGCCCATGGCCTTCGCATTTGGCCTTCGCATTGATTGTTTCGTACAAATGTCTCGATATCTGATGAGGCGCAGCTTTGAGCTGCTCACGAGAGGGGAAGGGCACCCCCTTGGGTCAGCCACTTGAGCCAAAGGCCCTCCAAATTCAAACCAATCCAAGTGATTGAATGCTTTTGACTTGTGGAAGATGTGCAAATGTCTAAAACATAAAGCTGAAAATGCACACATTGCCCCAAAAGTGCCTTCAGCCTCAAGCCGTTGTGCTTCAGCTGAAAGCAGACCTGCACATGTTCAAGCTTCCAAAAAGCTTCTGTCCTTCATCCAGCTTCATCCATTTCTTCCGCAAAGAAGTAATGCTTGACTTCTGCCTTCATGCTGTCGATAAGCTCCATTGGCATATCCTCTGCCCAAACATCACTTTGCCTCACAAAAAGACAGTTCCTTTGCTTGGAAGCCAGCTCAGTCAAGCCTTTGCGTTGACATAAGAATCACTAGTCTATATGTTTTAAAGAGGCTTCCGCATCGTCTTTTTAGTTGTTCTGTTCCATTCATACGTTGGATCTTGGATCTTCTGTCCTTCTTTCTTCCTACCAAACGCAATCTTGCCTGATGGCTTCTTCTGCCTCTCGCTCTCTCCGCTTTGAGAACGGCACCAATACCTGTCCTGAATGCGTCATACCGTCGCGGGGGATATACATCTCGTATGTTGCGCCAATGAGAAGTGGAAGGGCATCGCTACTAGGAGCAAGGACGCTACTAGGGGCTCCTGGCCTTGCTACTAGGAGCAAAGAAGCTACTAGGAGCAAAGGGCAAAGGGACCAGGAGGCACCCTTCACAGGGGATGTGAAGGAAGCAAAGCCTCGGGTGCAATCCCACCCGAAACATCCCGTGACCCCGCTTCCTGGTCCCTTCGTCCTTGCTCCGTTCGTAGCAATGCCCCTCCTAGTGGCCTTCTCGTTACTAGTAGTAAGGCCAGGAGCTACCATTAGTGTTTTCATTGTATGAACACTTCGTATCCTCTTGCAACCGATTCCACATTTCTGTGACCCGGGCCTCGATATTTGACCGCCATTCAGCGACATGGCATGACGCAGAGCCGAAGCGACGCCGTTTTGGCAACAAGTCTTGGACTTAGTCACTTGCCACAAGTCTTAGTGACTTGCCTCTTAGTGACAGCTTTAGGCCTTTGTTTTCCTGTTATTGCTTTTCCTCGACTTCACTACCTCGGAAGCATTTGTGGGAGTGCCTCTCTTTCACGCGGTGTTGCTGCTTCCCTCATCTAACTGCCTTGAGCCGAAGAGCGTTTCCTCCCAAATGTTTCAAAAAGAGAAGCTGTTGTTTCTATCTGTTTTCTTTTTTACTTTTAGCCCGTGTAGGCCCTGCCGCTACTACCCACTGGACGCAGGATAGCTCGTGCTTCTTCAAGGAAGCTCCCCCCCGCTGTGATTCCTAGATTTTTTAGGAAAGCTTAACAAGGAAGGATGGAAGGGCATCGGTACCAGGAGCAAGGATGCTACTAGTAGCTCCTGGCCTTACTAGTAACAAGAAGCTGGGAACAAAGGGCATCGCTACGAACGGAGCAAGGAAGCTAAGAGCAAGCTCTCCCACTTGCCAGCCAAACGTCTTGAAGGCTGGGTGCCATTCCATAGTCATGTGGCTCCTGCGCGATTGCCACAGTGAATCAATGTGAAGGGAAGGAGTAACAAGTGCCTTACTAGTAGTAACAAAGAAGCTATTAGGAACAAGTGCCACGCTAGTAGTAACAGGTGCCTTACTAGTAGTAACAAGAAGCTACTAGGAACAAGTGCCACGCTACTAGTAACAAGTGAGTGGTGGTTTTTTTTGGGTGCTTGGAAGTATACACTCCGCGGCATGTATACGCGAGCGCCTACGCGACATATCAAAAGTATGTGAGGTAGCCTACGCGAGCATGTTCCAGATCGAGGGTTTTGTTGAGGTACCTACGCGGTCGACTACGCGAGGCCTTTTTTTGCACGCTGCCTTCACGGAGCAGATGCAGATGAAGAAGATGAGGATGCAGAAGAAGACGAGCTTGAAGATGAAGACAGCAAAGCCTGTGCCTGTCGGCGCTTCTTAGAAGCAGCCTTGGTCAGTCTGTCCTCGGCTTTTTTCAGCAAAGTCCCCAGCAGGGGCAACAGGCTGATGAGGCTGAATGTGCTTCTGGGCCATATGTCGTCGTACGAGTTCATTGACATCGCCAGGCTCTGGCCCAGGAGGTTGAGGGATGTTCACCAAGGAAATGTTGTTCGGCCTACACGGCTTTCCCGAGCAGCAGAGTTTGGTTCAGTTGAGGTTGCGTGCTTGTACTCCTTTCTCCCTATGTTGTACCCAAAGCTATTCAAGGTCTTCAAAGCTATGCAGGAGCTCACTGTGGCGCAATCCATTTCTTGAACGCTGACCTTGGGGAGATGTAGTTGGCTATTGTGGGTAGCGTACTTCTCCCGGAGCAGACCTAGAGAGCGAAGTAGGGTCTCAGCCTGACTGGTGGTGAATTCGACCTGGTTAAACACAAGGTTGCGTAGTGTCTGCCCCGTCTTCTTTTGAATGACCTGCCCAACAAGCTGGAGGAAAGAAGCAGCCTCATCAAGGGAAACGGTTTTCTCCATGATGGTGTCTGCAAGCGACAGAGCGAGTTCTTTGCGGTACTTGGGCGTGAAGTCGTCCCATGTTTTCACGGCGCGGCTCACAGAGACAGACACGAAAAATTACGACTACATGCTTGCTTAAACGGCTCACATTATAGGTTACAAGCATGAAAAACAGAAGTGGGCCAACCCCTTCCAAACCAAGCCGCAGCCTACGCGAGCATCTACGCAAGGCATACGCAAAGCATACGCCTGCATCTTGTCACACGTTTCTACAGTTGTACCGGTACTGTACACACATGCACATATGTGAATGACCATGGAAATTAGGCTCAGAAAGCTGACTGTACCGGTTTGTTCAACAAGTTGACAAACTCAAAGAAAACCATGTCACAGCCCATCTCGATGGGCGCGCAATACATTTTCCTCAGCAAACCCCTGTGGTCGAAATCCCTCACACAGTGTTCGCACTGTGATCCCCAAGAAGCATACAGCAACAAGGTCACTCATATCCCTCAAGATCTACTTCCTCAAACTTCAAGTACCAGCCACCAAGCAAGTCAACTAAAGGATGAATATCGGTCCATTGTTCTTTCCGTGTTACAGGTTATTAGATTTACTCCAAGTTACAACCACGCAAATCTGCCTACGCGAGGCACTACTATGTTTTCCTACGCGGTTGCCTACGCAAGCTTACGCCCCCAAGCAGAATAGCCTACGCAGCATCAAGAGTAGTTCCACTTTTGTATAAACTCTTTCATAGACAAAAAA